AGAGTGAGTCTGTACCGGCGGTTTGCCGCCAAATGGCACCGCAGGATAAACGGTTATGACCCGGGGCCCTCTGAACCGAGTGGTTTTGCCGCCAAATGGCACCACGAAATATCGGTTATGGCCAGAGCCAATACGTTCCTTATTGGCACCAAATCCTTGAGATATTAATCAATAGGATATGATCGATAGGGCACAAAGCCCTCTGTTAGCTAAGGTGGATTCAAATTTGTCCCCTTAGACAAACATTCACCCTAGGTCTACAAGGTCCCCTTGGACGAAGCAACCCATGGCTGCCGACAAGGATCCTTTTGTCAGGTTGGGTCGACTACCTCCTCTGACTAAGTAGACCAGGGACCACGATGGCCCGGGACGACGGAACCATGGGATCTTGATCGGGCCCATCATCCATTCCCCCACCATCCGCTTTAAGTGCTAGGGATGATTAATGCAATTGAAATACTTCACACCAGATCTTGTGGAATAACAATCATCAATTTAAAGCTTTTCAAATTCTTAAAATATCTATTCATTTCAAATTGAAGGCATTGAAAAAATGTATCTTTATAAATTCAAATTGTTATTCTAATCTATTGCTGTAAATTTTTAAATATTTAATTGTTACATATTTATTATTAATATATATGATTTCATATTCCCCTTACACAATTTCACAGCTTCATTTGTTCGTCTACCTAAGAACTGTTGATACCTTTGCATGCCTAAGTCGGAAGATGAAGGCCTTTGCTCTTAAAAATAGCTCAATGCTTCATGCCCTTGGCTACAAAATCATCGTTACTCGCTCCTCTTCACGTACTAATCTCCTAACATTGGAAAAAACCGATCCATTTTATAACTTCTAAGCATCCAGGCAGCTGTAAGATTCACAGGTAAGCTCTTCTTATTAATATGATTGTATTCTAATGAATCCATTTTAGACCTTCTAAGCATCCAAGTTGTTGTAGGTTTCAAATGTAACATTTCTAATTAATATGTTTTATTCAAATGCATCCATTTACTTCTAAGATTTAAAGCTACTATAAATTTTGCAAATAATCTCATATTAAAATATTTTTATTCTCTTCACCTACAAAGGATTTAATGTTACCAAATCATTGCTACATCTAATGACCACTCGGATAAGGATTTAATTTGATAAAGCTACTGATCCCAACTGCTATAAAATTTTCTTATAATTTCTTCTCATTAAGCAAAATTTCCTTATAATTTTTTCTCATTAAAGCATATTTTCTCCTCTTGTTAGCATTTAATGTCAATTATCTTTTTATTGAAGATGTAAATAAGACATCTGAAACAAAAGAACCTTATTTTAAACTCCTCCAGAATAAAGCCTAATTCATTACTTCTTATCTACCAAGCAAAAAGGAAAAAAAAAGAAACCATTTTTTACAATATTACGAATGGAAGATCCATGAATTATAAGCCCTTCTACTGTGATAACTAGCTTCGATATTCCTATGATAAATCTGTTTCCATATTTTTATTATCTTATTGATTTTAATATTATAATACAACATTAAAATTTCTCACTATATATAAGATATTAATAGTTTAGAAGTATATTATATGACTAAAATAGATAAAAGCATTACAACCACACTATTAAACATTAACAAAACATCCTAACAAAAAGTGGTATGTGTAGATGTCGCATACCAAATTCAACTTAGCAACGATGGGATGTTTACACAGTGAAAATAGTATTGGTAGAATAGGGTATGAATAAATTGAGTAATTTTCTATTATGTGAAAACTAATTGTTCCCTAATAATTTGATTAGAAAGTTATCTTCATGTTGATGGTGAACAAAATGCAACTACCTTGTGGTTAATTATGCGGAGACTTCTGCAAGGAAGATTTATGAAGAAAATTTTAAAAATAATAACATGGAAGAAATAGTTGTCTATCAAAAAGTTTCAAATCTTGAGTAAAAATGTGAACATGGTTAAGATCAAATTCATAACTGGATAAGAGGTATTTTTGAGAAAGTAATTGAAAGGATAGCACAAATAGGAAAAATAGAAATAGTTTAGTATGAATAAAAAATAATAAGTTTGTAATGAAAGAACAAAATACCAAGAATGTAGATCAGATTTTTGGATGAATTTACTTTTAGTTTATCAGTTTGGAATTGTTTCTTTCACATAATTTTTTTAGAGGATAACCATCAAAGTATAGTGTTTTGCTTTCATATATCATGGCTCAAGGTAGCATTTTTCACATTTTGTGTCTACTTATTGTTATATTGTTATATTTCTCATTGGTAAACTACATACGAATGAACACTTATGCATTAAAAAATATGATAAACTATAGAATTATGATATCACAATTCCCGTGCTTGTGCCATATTCTTGCAATTATAATCTAGACTCTTCTTGAATAGTAGTCCATTGCTCAAGAAATTTAAGAAGATCAAATACGACTATATCATGCGAAAATAATTAGGCATCTATAAAATAAAATTGTATTCATAATTTTGTGATTTAATTTATTAGATGAAACTCTTTTACTTCAACATATATAAAATATATTTAATTAAATTTTAAAATACTAGTTAACATTAAAGATTATAACCGGATGTTGACTAATCTAAATCTTAGATTCTTTAGATTTAATTTTTTTCTAAAACATTAACTCTTAAATTGATATTCTTTTATCTTATAAAATTTTAGAAACATGCATTATCCACATGCATTTAAACTAGTTCAATTCGAAGTCTTTGAAAACATATCTCTACAATAGTAGACTGAAGAAAAACATAAGAAAACTATTTACTATGCTAATTACATCTCCTTTCTTCCAATTTCACTTAAATTAAACAAAGCATAATTTTCATTGCAATGCTACAGAAAATGAAAAGTTCTGCTTGCACAACTAAAGAAAAGGACATATTATACATTGAAAGTTATCCGAGAAAAATATAGAATTTCAACCTAATATCAGGAAAGATGCTTAAGAGAACAAAAAATATTCTTTGATAAAAGCTTGCAGATGTAACAGAAAATCATTAGAGCAAGTAACATTACCTGTACACTATGGGGGGTAGCACATAGATGGCCTTGTGATAGTATTTCAGTTATCTCACCAATTTGATAAGCCAGTTCATCTTCCGCAAAGACAGCCTGACGTGTTAAATAGAAGGCTATAATTTTGAACAAATAAGCAACCCCATTATAATAGTGCAAAAGAAATTAACATGAGAGAAAAAAATGAACTATAAGACCTGTTTTAATTTAGCTTTGCCGAAAAGCTGGGTACTGAAATATAAAATATGTGAAAGAGCATTAAGTTTCATTTTCGTATAGTTTTACAGAAAAAGTGATGCATATATGTGCTATTTCACATGATGCTTGAAGAAATGAATGAAAAAACGCTTATCCATGGAAAAGCTGATTGAAAGAACAGAGATCAAAGCACCTGAAAACCTTATAGATTCAAATAAGGAGCCGACATTCAGTAAACTGAGGCTCGTGTTCCAAGGTTGTAATATCCAAAAAATAATAATAATAATAATACTAATAATTCTATTAATAGTTACTATTAAATAATTAAGTAATTAATGGTAACTGTTAATATCAATAAGTTATCAATAAGGTTTAAATTATAGCTACTTGTAAATTTCTATTAACAGTTATTTAACTCCTGTTAATTATTTAATTAACTACAAAAGTGACTCAACTCATGGGCCGTGGAAAGTCCTCAGGCCTCAACACAGAAATGTGAATACAGCAATGTATTTAGATTTTATGGGTCCGCTGCTTAATTAATATATTAGATTAAATAAGTAATACATTATTTTGTCAAAAGATGCATCCAATGGTTGTGAAAACTTATCATAGCAGTTATTAGAGTGGGCCCAATTTATTGTCACGGAAGCATGCAAATAGGAAGATTCAGAGAAGAGCATTGCTTGCAGGATTGGTATGAAAAAAAAAAAAAAAACTAAAGGTAGAAAGTGTGGTGGACGGGTGTGGTAACTATAACAGGTTGTGGGAGCGACTTCTGCTAGGAAGTATGCTTTGCGGCAAAACATTGTAAGTTCGGCATAATGCAGACAGCGGGCTCAATTCATATAATTTCCTTTAGCAAGATGGCGGCACAGTGCAGAATGAACTGTAGCAGTATTCGACACAGTATTTTCTGGCATTGTAGCAGGAGTTTTTGTGGAGAAACTTCTGTGACACAGAAGTTAAAAGGAAGAAGTGTTGGATGCAAATAGAAGATCAAATAATAGTACAAATTTGAGTAAGTAAACATGTAATCTTTTTTATCAAGATTAGCAAATTATTGTTTGAATATATGACAAAGGTAGACTGAATTCTACAACAGGATTTGTAAACAGGAATTTTAGTAAAGTATTCCAGTTAAAGGAGAATACTAGAGAAGTAGAAGAAAAGAAGATTAGAAGAAAGGATTTTTCGTATATGCGGAAGCGAGGTTTTGAAGTAAGTATAATATAAGTTAATGTTATGTAAAATTTATTTAAGCAATAGATTGTAGGTTACTTACAATCGTACAAGAGTGCGAAGTAGAGAATTGGAAGAGACCTCGGCAAGGAGTAAATAATGCAATTTAAAATTTAAAAGGCAATTATGGTAATTTATATACATGTATACTTGTATTTAATTGAATTAAACGAAATGTGCATTACAAATTATTTATTTTGCTTAAGGATGTTCATAACCAAGTTTCCCAGTATGAATAACCACTTACTTAAATTTAGCATGTGAGTTTAAAATAAGGCTTTGTATGTTCATCTAAATATTTTCCTAATTGATAATATTTTGGAAAGAGTTCAATTTCCTTACATATGATATGCATATTCTTTGTATACAAATTTCAACAGAAATCATTATGAAAGGATGCAACAAGTCAAATATGAATATGAATATGTGAAAGTGTATTGAATATCAATTTAAAATAAAGTTTAGCTATAAAATGTTGTATAACTTATAATTGCAGGTGGGGCAAAAGGATCTCCATGTACACTGCATTGTAAGAGGGGCAAAAAGGACTCCAGATATATGATATCTGCATAGCAAGTGGGTCAAAAGGGACCCCTAAAGAGGCAAAAGGGACCTCTATGTAATTCAATGGCGATAATGTCAGGTTTACCTGAGCTACATTGAATATTTTTATGAAAGGATGGCAAAATATTTTAATGATTAAAATTGATATTCAGTATAGATTTAAGAAAAAGTAATGGTTACTGCCAAGTGGGATTCTATGATATTTTCTCAAGTATGTTTAACTTTTATTTATGTTTTCAATGTTATGAATTTTATAATCATGCAAGTCAAATGCTATTTAAATTTGCATAACTTATTAAGCATCATAGCTCACCAGTACACTTTTTACTAGTTGTTGTTACAGGAAAGGAAAGGAAAAGATCGTTGCAGATTAATTTGTATGTTATGTCATCTTTTATGCTAATGTTTAATTTATATTTGTAAGTTTACAATTGAGGTATGTAGACAATGAAGTAATATATCATTTGAAATTTTTTTTAGTGGCTCTGTAATTATGTGTTTGATGTAATTTAAAATTATTAGATGCTTCCGTAATACATGAAATGTGATTGAATGTTTTAGATCAATTTTCTAAATAAATGAAAAGTATCATATCATTGATTGATGAAAAATATTATGTTTATGTTAGTAATACTCTCAGTACTGTTAAGGGGTATTATGGGGTGTTACAAAGGTTACTCTTTTCTGCTCTGATCTTAAGGAATCTATAAACAAGTTCGCTTTGGTTAGGCATTCTTTTAGCATGCAAAGTTTACTGACCAAATGTATGTGGAATCAACATGATGTAGCATACCAAAGGTAATGAAGCCATGCCAAACCTTCCTTGGCAGCCTTTACAAAACAAATTTGAGTACATTAACAGTTCATTCAAATGTACAAGAACAAAATCAATAGCTTTTAAGAGAATGATTAGTTCTCCAGTAGAATGGAAAAAAAATGATGGTAATTCAAACAGACAGCACTCTGTTCAAATCCATTCAAATTTCTATTAACTTATGTCATCAGTATCCCACGAAAGCCTCAAAATTTTAGAATGCTAAGGTGCAAGAAGATGTTTGATTGACTTATTGTGGCCAACCATCCGTTGAATGGGTAAGTTTTTAATTATGACAGAACTTGCCATACAAATCCCATCACAATTCTCCAATCAGGGACAGACCCGTTTGTTCAAAACCATTTCAATTATTCCTGCTTGGACTTCTGTATTGGCACCATTGACTAACAAAATCCGACTACACAGACCACAACACGTGAATCCTTTACTTCATATCCTTAAGAACCCTGACATGCTGTATTCACCATCTCGGAATAGACTAAAGCTGCTTTATATCATTTACACATTTGTTCACCTTATGTTTAAAGCTTGCTCATCCCTGTGGGAGCTGGCTACTATTAAAATCGGAAGTAAATATATCTAAAGCATTAGTGAAATTAAATTCTTAACTTTCAAGATGAAGTGAGGCATTTACTCTGACAATTTGATTGTTACGTGTTCTGACATATAGTCCAGCTGCAAGGTCAGGGCAGGAGACCTCAACCCCATTTTTTATGTACATACCACTAGTAAGCCCTGAAAAATTACAATAGCCTATTTGAACATCTTTAAAATGCAGCCAGTATAGGGAAGCAGAGATGTGTTCAACAACATAAACAAATGCTAAATGCTGGAAAGTTTGGTGCTATGATTTTCAAAACATAATATGTTCATGTAATTATCTCGGGGAAATGAAGTTATGATACTAGCAATGTCAATATTAGAATGTCAAAACAAACCCAAATATTACAAAACATTCGGGAAAATGGATTAGTCAAGTCAAAGCAAAAATAAAGTTGAGGACAAGCAAGCATGTCATAAAAAGTTTTAAACAGCAGTAACTAAGCTATATGTAATGATATGTCCATATGAAAACAAACATAAATGAATTAAAAGGCATAAAAAGCTCCACGTAATGATATATCATAATAATATCCAATCCGGCTTCAAGAGATGACGCAACAAATTATCATGCTGTGCGTATCAACAGTAGGTAAAATAAAAAACAGAAAAAAAAAAAAAAAAAAAAAAAAAAAAAAAAAAAAAAACTGTCTAGAAAGAGCATGCAATTGAAAAATAGTAATAGTTCAGGTTCAAATTGCAGACCAAAATTATGGAATACGTAGTTTGTTTTGTAATTCCTGCTGAAGTATTCAATTGAACCATACAATGAATTTAAAAAAAAAATAGGTGAGGTTCTTGTCAAGTAGTGGATATTTTTATGATTGAAATCTCAGGTTCTAGGATTCCCAATGCAATAGATGACATTAAATAGAGTTAGGATCCATAGATTTAAAAACTACCAATGAAAATAAATATTGCTTTGTTTTAATATAAACTCAAAAATACAATGAATCAATGCCAAAGGATAAGTTAGTCCTTGCCAAGTTAGAAGAAATTCAGCAAGAACTTTAAAACAATAGAATTCAGTTGATTGGAACCAACACTGCAATCAGAAAACTAATTTGTATTAGATTTGATTAAAGGAACATTTGGAAAAATCAATAATAAATTTTTAGAAGAAAAGGAAAAATGAAAGAATTCACAAAGTAGAGTAAATATTAAGCCTCAGGCAAAACAAGATAAATTTCCATGGAATTAGAGAATCGTACTTGTACCACTCTTGAAGGAATGTAGCATCCAATAAGCGCAAACATGATTGAAAGCAAACCTAATATTTTATAAAGTGAAAATTCCCTTTATACTGCCTCAAGTTACTTTATTTAAAATCATCAAAATATCTTGATCAGATGCCTCATTATTGGTTCAATTTAAATTCAAACCTAATATCACCTGACAATTCATTTAAAGGATAAGTCCAATCGCAACCAAAAAAAAATTGTCACCCAATTGGCACAAAAATTAGCACATAAATGTATTTGCTTGCTTCAAGGGTTTGTAGGAAACAGCGCTATCAAATCGCATAATTAGACTAAAAGATAAGTCCGTCATACAAATCAATAGTGCTATAGGAGCCAAATGCCCAAGCAACCACAACACCAAACATCTTTAGAAACAAGGAGCAAAACTACATGATATTAACCAAGAAACAGCCACTAAAAATAAGAATGACAAACTTGCAATATGATAACTCCAAAACTCAAAACAAACAACTTTGAAGCCAATTAATCCATATGGCTACTCAACCGATTGAGCATATTCAAGCTAAATTAGATGAGAGGTTTCCCAGATCAGGAGTGTCATAACTGAAGAGAATGCATCCAACTCACATGGGCACATTATCATAGGCATGTCCCAAATCAATTGAAAATGAAAACATAAAAATAAAAAGAACTACAAAATAATGAGACTAACTCGCCCAGATAATTTATTCACTAATCATTTTTATGAGTATAAACTTGTAAATCTCCATCAAATATGCATGGCTGGGAAAATTTTGGCTCTAACGAATTTATCATTGGATATTCATCAAATATATTAGAACATAAATGTTTTGATTTATACAATTTAATTCAAGAATCATCACAAATAGTCCTATAATGCCAATATATAAGATATCTTCAGAATCCAATATTAGCGGACACAACCTCATCTAATATAAATTCAAGAACAAGAAATGTTGAAACTGTCCAGATTAGTGTTGGATGCGAATTTACGAGGAGAAGAAAAGAAAGAAAAACATAAGGCATTGGTTGTAGTTTCATCAAATAAAATCAAATTTGACATATTGAAGACAGGACTAAAGCTAGAACTTACAAGGATTTCTAATTTATAGGAATTTGTCCCAATGCATATCATGATTTTTAATAGCACGGTCATTCTCATATTTAATTTCTTAATTGCACGTAAGAAATCTTTTTGGATTCCAACATACCCATACATTATCACCTGATTTAAATTCTTTATATATTATATTCACATCAATAGTTGACTTGCCATGATTAATGTCAATTTCTTGTGAATTTCTTCATGCAAATTAGACAAACTATTAAAATGATTACTATGACATGAAGTACTGAAAATGTTATAAGAATAACATGAGTCCCAAGGGATACTAATAAAGACAAACAACTAATTCCTACAGAATGCAATGATTAAAAAAATGAAAACAGACAATGCACACAGACATAATACATACATATGGATGTACATTATACTTAAATATAACTAACTCAAATGCTTTAAAAAATTGTGAAGAATTGTGCATCATTAGAACTAATCAAATCGATGGATTCTGATAGGAAATACTTGAAATCAAGTAATTCCTACCCCAAAACTGAAGCGGAACCAGGGAAAAACTGCTCTCCAGCAGTGGACAGCAGTTTTTTCGCAGGAAACAGTGAGGAAACGCGAGAAAACTGAGATCCAACGCAAGCAACGCTAGTATTTTATTAGAAGACGAATAAAATTGCAAAGATACAATTTGTTCTTCAATTCGAGAGGAAGAACGTACTCTCCAAAGTCTCCGGCGAAGCCAAGAGCCCAAAACAAAACCTAGATCTCAAAGAGAAAACTCAAATTCAAGATAACCCTAATTCCCCCCCCCCCATCTCCCTAATTAAAGAAAAAGGAACGATACAAATTACATAAACACCCTTCTCATTCAAAAATTCCCTCCAACGAAACGCTCCAAAACCCCACAGCCCGCCTCTTCTTCCGCCGTTTTTGCGAACGGGTTCTGCCCGGCTTTGGACCGCCGGGCGTAGAACCGGACCGATCCAGCTGGGACCGGTCCAAGCGTAACATTACCGCCCTCCCAAAGAATCACCTTGTCCTCAAGGTGAAAATCAGGAAACTGATGTTTCGTCCTCTCGTATGGCTCCCACGTGGCCTCGTAGTCAGGAAGGTTCTTCCACTGGATCAACACTTTAGTGCCTTAGTTTTATCTTCTTTTTGGCGAACACCCTTCAGCTCCAACGGTTCCATTATCACCTCTAAATCCTCTGTAAGTGTGGTCGGCAGCTCGGGAATGGTGATGTGATCACCAATGGCCTTTCTCAACTGTGAGACATGGAAAACCAGGTGTATAGTCGCCGATGGGGGTAATTTCAGTCGATATGCTACTGCCCCAATCTTTTCCATCACTTCATAAGGACCAAAGTACCTTGGAGCCAGCTTTTTATTCCTCCTGTTGGCGACTGTTTTCTGCCTGTATGGACGGAGCTTCAAGAACACCTTATCCCCAGCCTCAAACTGGATATCTTTCCTATGCCCATCTGCTTGCTTCTTCATGATTTGCTGCGCCCTCAGCAAATGCATCTTTAACTCTTCTAGCACTCGGTCCCTCTCCTCCAAGTACTCTTCTACCGATGAAACAGGGGTACTACTGCTCCCAAAGTATACCAAGTGTGGGGGATCCCGTCCATACAACACCTTGAATGGAGTCATTTGTGAAGCTGAGTAAAATGACGTGTTGTACCAGTACTCAGCCCAGGATAGCCACTTTGCCCATAGCTTTGGTGTCTCTGAAACAAAGCATCTTAGGTACGTCTCCAAGCTCCTGTTTACTACTTCCGTCTGGCCATCCGTCTGTGGGTGGTAGGCTGTGCTCCTCTTGAGCACTGTTCCCTGCAGTCTGAATAACTCCCTCCAGAAATGGTTGAGGAACACCTTGTCCCTATCTGATACGATCGCCTCTAGTACTCCGTGCAGTCTAATCACTTCCCTGATAAATGCTGAAGCTACTGTCACTGCAGTGTAGGGGTGTCTGAGTGGAATGAAGTGTGCATATTTGCTCAGCCGGTCCACTACTACCAGTATCACCGTGAACCCTCTGACCTGCGTAAGCCATCGATGAAATCCATGGACACTTCCTCCCAAACTCTGTTTGGAAGTGCCAATGGTTGTAGTAAACCTCCTGGAGCCATGGCCATGTATTTGTTCCTTTGGCAGACCTCACAACCCGCCACCATCTCCTCCATATCTTTATGCATCCCTTTCCAATAAAGTTCTGTTGCCAGCCTCCGGTATGTCTTCTGAACTCCTGAGTGACCTCCAACTGAGCTGCCATGAAATTCCTGCAACAGATGGGGAATGTGTATGGAAGTTCGTGGCATCACGAACCTCCCCTGATACAATAGTCTCCCCCCTTCCATGTAGTAACCAGGATGACTACTCCTGTCTTTCTCCAGATCCTCCCTGATCTTCCTCAGCTCCTCGTTCAGCATACTTTCTTCTTTGATGGCCCCCCAATCTACTATCAATGG